ATGAATAAGAAGTTGATTAATTACTTTGTCAGTAATTTAATTAATCAACGGACGTAATGCAAGTGTAAGTGTCCTGGTCCGGTTTGAACGAATAGATCTTGGTCCTCGCCGGTAGAACACCGGAAACCTGCAAACAAACTCTCACACCGGGGGTTGTGTCCGGTGAAGAGCCTCCGATGCTTAAGTCAGTATGTGTATGAGTATATTGAAGTGAAGTATGGAAAATAGAATGAATTCCAGGAAAAAGGCTCACCCCCTTTATATAGGGGTGAGATACCTGCCCTAATAACTGCCCGGATAAGGATGAGCTGGCTGCCCAAGCTGCCCGTCCGTACTCTGGCACGCCGCGCACATGTCAGAGGTGGCGCGGGGCGTTGGGAGCTGTCAGAGGTGGTTATCGCTATCATCCAATACATTGTCGACACGTGTCCCCCTGCACATGGGGTAAATATTCTCCTGGGACTTAGTTGGAGGCTCTCACGCGCGCCCGTGATACACGCGCCCATGACTAGGCCGACTGTTAGCTCCTTGAAGCGATCGACCTGTTGAGGTCGAATAGGTTACTCGATCATGTATCTAGTCGAGCGATGGGTTGCTCGATCATTAGTCTGGTCATGCGCTGGACTGCTCGATCGTTAGTCTGGTCGATTCCCTGAATGTTCGATCTTCCCGCCTTTTGGCTTGGCTCCCTCTTGGTTTAACCTTCTTGACCGGCCCAGCAGACCGGTTAGCTTTGTGTGTATAATATCCCATATCAGGACGTTATATCTTAAACATAGGGAGGTAAATCGATCAATCAGATTAATATTATTTAATTATGGAGGCTCGAGTTTATTGGTAAAATAATGGCTAAATGGGGAGAGCAATAATATTACTCTAGTGGGATGTTTTATTATTTAATTCCATTAAATAGGAATTAATTTTATTCCATATTAATTAATTAATTAGGAGAATAAAATTCCTACTAGAATCTTCTCTTGGGATTAGGAGACTTGGGAGTCTTCTAGAAGATGAAGATTAGTGGGAAATATATTTCCTACATTATATTATTAATTGGAGTAAAATTAGGTTTCCTAAATTAGGATTTAATTCTATTCCATGATTATTAATTTAATTAGGAAAGTAAATTCCTACAAGGATCTTCTCTAGTGTTAGGAGACTTAGGAGTCTTCTAGAAGAGAGGGGTTAGTAGGAGACCTCCTTCCTAGATTGAGTTAGTATTGGATTGGAATTAGGAGTCCTAGGCCTAATGGAATAAGCCCATATTTAGCACCTCCTTAAGGTCCCTAATGGAGCCTATAAATACACCATGTCCCATACTCTCCTACAAGGTTGTGTTGGCTGTTTTTTCTCTTCTACATACACGTGAGAATTGCTTTGTTCGAGAGTTAGGGAGATCCGATTAAACGCTCCACCAAGTTTAACCGGAATAGGTGTTTAGGTAATCCGTTAGAAGGCTTTTTGGTACAATTGATTGAGCCTTTATATATATATTTTTCCGGTCATCTTCCCCAACCGATCGCCGCCCATCGCCGCCGTGAGTGATTGCTCGAAATCGCCCATCGCCGACGGTCGCCTCCCGAGTCCAGCCGAAGCGCAACCGCACGCCTCGCACTCAGTAGCGCATCGCCCAGCCCCTGCCAGCGACGCCCAGTCGACGATCGCGAGCTCCCAGCACCGCCTGGCTGCTCTCCGTTCACCCGTGCTTCCAGTCGACGCCTGCGCGAGGTCCCAGCATCCGTAAGTTACACGCGCACCATCCTCGCACAACCAGGAGTCGCGCAACAGTCTGCTCGCGTGATCCCAGTCGCCCAGCG